TGTGCACCGGTCGCTTGAGCTCGACTGTTTAAATATGACCTGTGGAAGCTTCCCAAAGAGAGTTGTGTAAGCTCGTGAAGAACTGTGACTTCAGATGCGTTGTGTGGTTTTTCTGGGAATTAGAGAACTGCTTGGACTGATTATGGCAATATTTTGCAACCATTGCTTAAACTAATTTGAGGTTGATTTTTTTTTTTAAGGACAAACGGTGATTATTTTGTTTTCGTTAGGGGGAATAAAAAAGCTTGCAGCAAACGGTCTAGTTGATTGAATTTGTTCATAGTCCAGGAATGCGAGCAGAGTTAGTTAATTAATGTAATTTGACTAGAAAGCACGAAAGGCATTCATTGGAGATGTTCGCTGCCGATCAGCTAGAGGCAAGGGGTGGCGCAACCTGGAGATTTAGTCGTCTTGAGCTAAAAACAAAATAAGTTTTAGGCCTTAACCCCCCCCCCCCCACCCCCTACACCTTCCTAAACTGATAAGAGGACTCAGTTGTTTCTCCCCTCTCCCCCCCCCAACCATGGTTAGAAATTATCTTATATACACTATACATTATACATATATTGTTTTAAAAATATGCGTATATATATTTGTTATTTAAAAACCACTTAAGTATGCTTTGTGAGGCACCCCCCCCCCCCCCCCCCAAGAAAACCTGTAAACGAACTAAGTATTCCCGTTCTTTGTGTCGCAGCTTTTGGTCGGAGTGCGATAATTGTGGAAATACAAGAAAGGGGGGGGGGGACTTCCAGATCTAAGTTGGTAGGTAAAATAATACGTTGAATGTTGAATTAAGAATCGACATCACAGAACTCCGGACACCCCTATAAGCTTCTCATATTGTTTGGCTTGATAAATTTAGGCGAAGAGAGGAGTAGGTCAAAGTGTCCAATCAAGTTTCATTCTTGTGTAGGGTTCTAGTCGGCTCTGTGGCTAACTCGATGCGAACGCTTCGTAATGCCGGGATGCCGGGTTCGATTCCAGCTGCGGGCCATGCGCCTTGCATTGGTTTCGACAGTGATATCAAGAAAGCCGACCGTCCAGGAGGCAATGACAAACTACTGGACGTAAATGTGCCTAAAAAAACCAACGTCCTGTAAAGGATTCGCAACTAACCTAGTACCTACATAGGTACAAGTTTGGTTAGATTGGTAGCGTTCTAATCCCGTTGGGACGTGAGTGCATGGACTGGCCACCTGGTAGAATAATAAATAACTTAATAAACTGTTACTTGCGTCTTGCATAATAGGTCATCAGTAAAATAAAGAAGTATCCTAGATAAGTGTTCATCAACCAGTGGGTCACTGTCCACTGCTGGATCGTGGAAAAGTCCAGCTGAGTCGATAAGAATGTCTGCCTTATTGAGTAAATGTATACGGTCGGTGGTTTTTCTCTTCCACGATTGCAGTCTGTCGGGTTAACACATCCAGGATGAGAATCAAACCGGTACAAATCCTGGAAAGCACAAAATAGTAAAAAGGCACCGACGGTAAGGTAATCTATTGTCTGGTCTGGGCTGGGAATCAGAACAGTAACACGTGTATGATAAATGAGTCCAGCAAAACGAATGTGGCTTTGTAGGCGCCACTTTTTATTTCTGCATTTTATTCGATTTCAGGTGGGCGGTGAAACTATTCTTCTTGTTTTTAGTGGGTCGAGGGTGTAAACAGGTTGAGAAACACTGAACTAGACAATACCAGGTGACTGCGCTAACTACCTGGCTAGAAATGTGTCTGTCGTTCCAAATGTCTTTGAGTTATGGACAAGTTACCTTTTACCTCGTTTTCAGTCACATAGGGCTAGACCTATATTTTATAGACCAATCGGCACTTGGTGGGTGATGTGGTTAACATCACATGGGCCGACTTTACTTCCCAGGACTGCACCGGGTACCTACTCAAGGCTAGGTCGACCTGGGAGCCAAGGTCATTTTTGAAAAAAGTCCGGCTCCTCCAGGGAGCGAACCCACGACCTTCCGATCCGCGGCAAGCGTCTAACCGCTTGGCTACGGTGACTCCTAATCCCCTTTTACAACTTCCTTAATACTGAGGGGTATTGTAATTATCCCCCCCCCCCCCCACCCTCTTTTTTTCCCCTTTCCCCAACCCCCTGTTTTGTCAACGGGGTCCCGAAGCACACACACGGAGACAATTTATTTTAAGAAGAAAACAAGTAATCAACCTACCTTGTTTAACTTTTAGCAACGAAAAATGAACGCTGACGGAACAAAAACTTATCACAAGTCATATGAAAATGCACATAAACTATATTCACTGAATCTCAAAGCTAAAGGGTCAAGTGTTTTTACATCCAACTGCTTTAAAGTGCAGTCTTTCTGACAGGGCAACAAAACACACCGTCAAATGTTAAAATTCAAGTAGTCATAAAGAACGGCGTTTGCTAGAATCCGTTTATCTGCCCTACTAAGAACCGATTCAATTCTGCGCAGCAAACTTTCAACAGAAGTGGTTTTCTGAGAATAAACAAGGGATAGATTTACCAACCTTGATGTAGGTTCTTTTTTCGGAAATATCCAAGAAATGTTGAAACCGTCAATCGCTGGGAAACTGGGTTTGCCGCACTGCTGTCATTACCAGTCTTTAGAGGATCACTCTGGAACAGAACATAGTGGTCGTTACAAGAACAGCAATGGAATCATCTTGTGTTCTGTGGTTGTACTTGGAGTAAGCTTACTAGCCTTGTGTTGTGTGGGGATTCCTTTGATTGTTTACATACTTTCAGCCGTTAGGGTTATGGAAGCCCGGTTAGGGAGTTTAGAAAAGGAGCTTGCAGTGATTACCAGCAAATACGAAATGTTGCTACTGCAGCAGCAACAGCAGCAGCAAAAACTGCAGAAGGTATGCAGTATAGTTCCTATTTGTTTCTGTTTCTTCTTAATGTGTATGCTTATGCCGTAGACTGGGCAGAGAGAAGCTGCATGTCGTTTTCTCATCTTCTTATCTTGAGAATATGCATTTGAACAATTACAACCTATAGCAGCTTGCGGTTCTTTTCTGTTAAGCGACCACATCACGCGAAATTCCATAGTAGTAGTCGCCATTAGTTAGTTGTTAGTCGTTAGTCAGTCGTTACGGTTCCGGCATCACAGCAAATGAGCTTGGCTCATAATTGCTCAACCGCCCATGCCATTGATTCCAGTCACAAACTGAGTCAGATACGCTGGATACTTCAAGTGAATGCCGTAGCCACACAAAGGGTCCCCAGTCAGCAAAACACACACGATTTGGTCTAGCAAACCATAAGGTGCATGCATGCTTAAACACACGGCGAGACCAGGCGTCGTCGCTGAAAATCAACTTCATTCGACAAATAGCTGGGTGATGAGTAGATTAAAACGATTTCTGACCATTCTCCACATGTCCTCGGCCAAGTTGCAGTCACAGCCAGCAAATAAATAGCAGCTATAGCACAACCTTGTCACAGGAACACAACGAAGAAAAATGCATCACTTATCATTGCCATTATGTACGAATCTAGAATTCAGTCAATAACCGATAATCACAGCTAATAGTGCCGCCAGGAGCACTAAACTCAGTAGCTCTGGCTGAAAACCGGACTTCCACAATTTTGCAACATCGAAACTGGAAGAGAAACGGCGACGAGAACCGTCAACATAAGCCAAGTTCTCAACCGTCATCCATTCCCAATCAGTGTCGGAACCGGAAGTCGCTATTCATTTAAACTAACCTTAACACCCCCCCCCCCCCCCCCCACCCCATACTATGGGATTTCTCTAAATCTCGCGGAATGTGGTCGCTTAACAGAAAAGATCCCAGCTTGCTTGGCCTGTCCTAGAATACATTCTTACAGTGGCAGTTATCGAACAGTGACACTTTTATTCTTTTTTGAAAAACAAAGAAAATCTCTTGCGTTATTTGTATCGCCATCTCTATCTTTAAAGTATGTAGTACAGCGACTAGACGCCCGCCTGGTGATCTTAGGGTCGTGGGTTCAGGTCCTGGCAGTGCTGGGCGTTTTTCACAAATGACCTTGGCTACCAGGTGGGCCCAGCCTTAAAAGGGGTACCAGGTAAAGTCCTGGGAAGTAAAGACGGCCAGCGTGATGTTGAAAACATCCCAAACCGACTGCCGATCGCACGATAAAATATAGGTCTAGCCCTATATGCCCAATAGGACTGAAGGCGTGAAACATGGTCCTTTAACTTCATCTTGAACATCTAGGCAATTATCTACAATAAGTTTTAGTTAGCTGCATATTCTTAGACTTAACGAACTAACACCAACTTTTGTTTGGTTGTCGGTGGTTTTAATAGGCAATTCTAAGTTATTTCCCAGGATAGTCGACGCTCCATGGTATCGTTGAAATCACAGCAAAGCGGTCTGTTGCCAAATAGCCTGCACTGAAAATGTTAAACTTTACCATTGGCCACAAGGATATGCGATTCAGCACGCGGGGAGCACAGAGAGCAGCTCATTCGTCAGATATAACCTGTTCTACAGAACAAACATTTATTATTAGTAACAAAATATAGCATTCTTGAAAACACTGTCATATGCCCACATTTAGCAGATAGTACAACAAAAGGAGGATGTGAACAATACAGAAATCAAGAACATTAAAACTTCATTTTGATGTTAAAATTTTTCTTTGCAACATCGAAATGAAGTCTTAATATTCTTGATTTCTTTATTTGTTCCAGCGTGTCACGTGACGTTAACGTTCATTCTTTCTATGTTCCCGTCTGTCATGTGACGTTAACATTCATTTCTCCATTTGTTCCAGTCTGTCATATGATGTTACCATTCATGTCTCTATCTGTTCCAGTCTGTCATACACCGTTAACATTCATGTCTTTTATTTATTCCAGCCTTCCATCTGTCGTTAACATTCGTTTCTCTATCTATTCCAATCTGTTATGGGGTTAACATTCATTTCTTTGTTCCAGTTTGTAATTTGATGTTAACATTAAAATTACCGAACGTTAACTTTCGGTTTCACTTTATAATCTGTTCCAGCCTACCTTCCTACATGAGACACCAACACCGACACAAATTCCGAATGTTCTCAAAAGTAAGTGACCGTTGTTTGTTGTCAATAAAACAAAAATGTACTGAAAATAAAGATTGCCATTAAAAAAGTAGAGACCCCTTTTCCACGATGTCAGGCGTATTGGGCATATAGGGCTAGACCTATATTTTATATACCAACAGGCACTCGGTGAGTGATGTTGTCAACATCCATCACGCCGGCTGCCTTTGCTTCTCACGACTTTACCTGGTACTCATTTAAAGCTGGGTCGACCTGGGAGCCAAGTTCATTTTCGGAGAAGAAAAAAAAAAGGCTTTCTATCTCTGGACCTGAACCTTTGACTTTTGGATCTGTAGGTGAGCATCTAGGCGCTACACCATTGCGGCTCCCAATAAACACCATTAGGTCGTTCTGTTTTGACACATTTATTTCATTCAAAACAATGATTTCTTTGTGACCATTTAAACTAGGAAGACACACGGCACTAACCGTGCGGGTGCGATGCATACAACACAAGTGATAACAACTTCGAAATTGACTTTTTGAGTCCCTAACAACCTATGATAGGTCATTCCATCTACTCAATGTGTTCTATTACTTGTTATGTTTGCTTAGAACACTCTCAAGAATTCTGGCATGACCAATGGTCAGTATCACTGTTATATTACTGTTTGAGTGGTCTCCATGTATGTTGTCCGCCTCGATTGCTGGAGGTCACGGGTTCAAGCCCCGGTAAAGGCTGGGATTTATTCACGTGGACTTTCCCCTGGTCTCTAGGTAGAAGTCGGCTCTGTGGCTAAGTCAATGCGAACGCTTCGTAATGCCGGGATGCTAGGTTCGATTCCAGCTGCGGGCCATGCGTCCTTGCGTTGGTTTCGACAGGGGTATAAAAAACGCCGTCCGTCCAGAAAGCAAAGGCAAACTACTGGACGTAAATTTGCCTAGAAAAAAAAACCACACAACAGTTAGGTGCTGTTGGGGTTGGTTCTGCAACGTCCTGTAAAGGATACGTAACTAACCTATAATCTAGGTAGTAAGATCGCGCACGTAAAAAAAAAAAAATCTCTTGGCAGTTGGAAATCGAAAAAAGCAGCCTAACGGCGCTGCCCCAGTGTTGTGTGCTAAATTGAGTCAGCACACTACCAAGTGTCTAGCAGGTACTCTTCAGCTTCCTTTCTTAACAAGACAACTCGACGACGATGACACCGTCATACAAGTTTATTTAACAGGATACATGACACAAATGCAGAGACGCAGTTATTGATCACAGCTGACATTCGCACATCGTTCATTTGTCCTCACAGCTCTCTATCTCTCAATGTGTAGTGACCTCTCCTGGACTACTGCAGATACCAGATTGACGGCGTCCCACTCTCTGGACGCGTCTGTCGTACAGCTGAACAGGACGACTTCTCCCTTTCACTGGACCTTGATATTAATTCAGCATACAACACGGCTGACTGGAGACGGACTTCTCTTGCCGTACTCCGAAACCAGGCACTACTGGTCTTCCCGTCCCCTGGACTTACTTTGCCAGCGGGACCATATTTCCCATACCGCAATCCCGACACTTACTCGGACCTAAATGCCCGATAGTCGTACGGTATTCTAGTCGGTTAGACTCCAATGACCGACAGGACTTCTACCATAAGTCCTCTCATACTTTTGACATGTACCGCAATCTCGACACTTACTCGGACCTAAATGCCCGATAGTCGTACGGTATGTTTGTCTGTTAGACTCGAGAGATTACCTGGACCCTGACTTGGTCTCTGACTCTCGTTTTCTCTCTCTTCTCGCTCTATCTTGACTGCTTCTCGATTGCCCCCGAGGGGCTTTAGCCCTCAGGCTACAGCTCACTCTCTGGACTGTCCACGCAGCCCAATTTATATATGTCGAATCCGTGTAGGTGGATGGTGATTACACGAGAGGCACGCTTGTGTGGGCGTTCTCGTGAATCATGATCCTGTGGGTGTTGACGGGACTCGCTCATGTGAGCGTTCCCGAGGATCACGCTTATGTGGGTGGCTGATGTTACCCGAGAATCAGGCTGTCACTTAATTCACACTTTATCTCGTTATCCACGCTTTCAGCCCACCACACAGAAACCCACGCGTCCACTTTCTCTCGTGCATGCACGCTTTGTTCATGAATAGACGTTTTCACTGGTCTCCTCTTAATACTCTGATCATATTGACACTCTTCCTCGTGAACTTACAGGCAGTACAGTCATACCATTGCCCCTTCCCACAATATCACACTTAACCCCAAATCAGCGCGCAACATCATATCCTCCCCCTCTCCCAACTGACAACTAACTGAAATTAAGTTGTCAGTTGTAGAGTTAGAACAAATCCTTGTTGCGAGCTGATATTACCATTATAATAATCATTGGATATGTGATATCGTAACATATAACCTTTCTGTAGTCAACTAAAGTATCATTGTATATCTCAATACAGCAAACACATGGCTATTAATATCTAATTTTAACAACTATGTCTTGTTTGATACAGTGTAAAGCGGCCTTCAAACAGGTAGTGGGCAAACTTGAACACTGTGTTGTACACCATCACAGCTCTCCTTTTCTCCATGCTGTTTTCTGTCTCTTGCTGGTGTTAATCTTCTGCAGGCATACATGACTTGGATGCAATTGACTTTCACAGTCATATGGAAGTACACCGCTCAGAACGACGTCACACACGTCACATGCCACATGGAAAGAAAATATTCTATTAGGTAACGTAAAATGATTTACAAGTGAATCATTTTTGTAAATCGCGTAATGTTATTGCATAATGCTCTGCCCATTTCGTTATGTTTGGTATGCCTTTCCTACAAACGCAGACAGCAATTGTTGCAAAATGTGGTATGAATGTTGAGTACCCAGTTTTTAAACATAATTCTTACTTTCTTCTTCATTCTGGAAACTGGAATTTAACAATCTCTACATTTCTAGATACTTTTTTTTTCACCATTTCCCTATAATATCCCATTACATTTCAAAGATGGTAAAATAGATATTGCAGTCAATTCAATCAATCTTGCATGAGTACACGATGATGATAACAATGAACTTGGTGATTATGGACGATTGTCCCTCTATTGCTCCTCTTATACATTATAATATGCTACCAAGGCTGTGTCACATGAAAGAAAACACATTACCTCGACTCGGCGTGAGTCCACCACATTCGCTTTCGGCCTACGGCCCCTCCTAGGGTCACCGATAGCCTTCTTATAACTCTCGCGTTGTCACTCAGGACAGAATCTTCTTTTTGGTTACGTGCCCTTCCTTTGGGTCACTGTAACATATACACGATAACTGATGAGACTTGGCCCCAGGCAACAGAGTTCTCGGCCCACAGCCGAATTATCATCACGAGGCACTGCATTATCCTCGTCCTCGTAATTCCGCCACACTTGACTCTTGTGGCTAATAACATGTTGGGTACTCTACGCCTTATCCCCACACAATTCGCATAACGTGAGCACTTCGACTAATGCATCAAATTCACTTCCTTGATAAGCCACTAAATGTAATCTGTGTTTTCCATGTTAATAGATTCATCAAAAAAACTACACACAACTGTACTTCTTCAATCTTTCAATGTCATAATGTAACTCACTTTCTGGTTTTAAAACAGGTAATTTTGGTTCATACTTTACCACCTCTTCATTTGAGTGGTTTGAAGCCTGTCCTTTCTTTAGCGACTCACCTCGCTAATTCTTTTGTTTCTTTTTCTGTAATGGCCAACTCTGCCATATCTTTTTGATGAGCTTTTTCTGTAGCTCTCTTATCTCTAGTCGCTTCTTCATTTTCTGGTTGTCTTGCAGCTTTTTGTTTTTCTGTTACCTCTTTCATCCTAAATTCTGCAAAGCTTAGGATCTCTTCAGGCTTAAGTTCTAACTCCTCAGCTATGCTGACAAACTCAGCAAAGGACATTTTGACTGTTACTTATGTCAGTGTGATGGACACCACTAAAAGACAGTACACGACGTTACGATAACAGTGCTAACTTTTACGACAACAAGACAACGAGAAAACAAGCTATGTATGACGGTACACTTAAGAAAATGGACCGAAAGCACCAAGGATTAACACAACCGATAACAAACCGTACGTACAGGACTATTAACGCTACCTGACGCAGACAACTAGGTATTCCGGTCTATAAACTAATAGACAGAAATAACTAAAAGACAGCTCCTAAATTATGCAACCAACAAAATGTTACCTAATTAGAAGCGCTCCTCCCAACCTCCCACAAAACAAGTATCTCACACAGATATCTTAGACGTACCAAACAATTAACGTGGTCAAAGCAATGTAAATACTGCAATAAAACATTACACAATTTACAATTACAGACCTGTCAATGTTGGACGATGAGATGACCAGTGCAAGATGAAACACACACTAAACGCAGCTCCGGCAGGTCATTCAGCTCCAAGCATAGCTTCCATCTCAGGTTCAGCTCCTGGATAACACGGCTTCAGATCTGGCGACTTGACGATTCTGTGTTCTTCACTTTACGACAAACAGGTTGACATTACAGTTCAAACAGGATCAATAACACATTCTGCGAATCTTCTTTTTGTGTCGCTGGCCTCTAAGCGTTGGTTTTGGTACGAAACTGCTCTTGAGTGGGTATGGCTTTGAAACCGTTGAAAATTTGAGACTGCTGAGAGGTTTCTCATTCTTTGTTATGTTTCTCAAACTGTTGGTTTGGTACCGAATTGTTCTTGAGTTTTTGGCTTTCAAAACTGTTGTGTGAAGGATGAGATGTTGAGAGATCCCTCGTTCTTTAGCTTGGCTCCCAAACTGTTGTGGAGGATGAGATGTTGAGAAGTTCCTCGTTCTTTGGCTTGGCTCCCAAACTGTTGGTTGGAGGGTGAGATGTTGAGATGTTGAGATGTTGAGAGGTCCCTCGTTCTTTGGCTTGGCTCCCAAACTGTTGTGTGCTAAATTGAGTCAGCACACTACCAAGTGTCTAGCAGGTACTCTTCAGCTTCCTTTCTTAACAAGACAACTCGACGACGATGACACCGTCATACAAGTTTATTTAACAGGATACATGACACAAATGCAGAGACGTAGTTATTGATCACAGCTGACATTCGCACATCGTTCATTTGTCCTCACAGCTCTCTATCTCTCAATGTGTAGTGACCTCTCCTGGACTACTGCAGATACCAGGATGACGGCGTCCCACTCTCTGGACGCGTCGTACAGCTGAACAGGACGACTTCTCCCTTTCACTGGACCTTGATATTAATTCAGCATACAACACGGCTGACTGGAGACGGACTTCTCTTGCCGTACTCCGAAACCAGGCACTACTGGTCTTCCCGTCCCCTGGACTTACTTTGCCAGCGGGACCATATTTCCCATACCGCAATCCCGACACTTACTCGGACCTAAATGCCCGATAGTCGTACGGTATTCTAGTCGGTTAGACTCCAATGACCGACAGGACTTCTACCATAAGTCCTCTCATACTTTTGACATGTACCGCAATCTCGACACTTACTCGGACCTAAATGCCCGATAGTCGTACGGTATGTTTGTCTGTTAGACTCGAGAGATTACCTGGACCCTGACTTGGTCTCTGACTCTCGTTTTCTCTCTCTTCTCGCTCTATCTTGACTGCTTCTCGATTGCCCCCGAGGGGCTTTAGCCCTCAGGCTACAGCTCACTCTCTGGACTGTCCACGCAGCCCAATTTATATATGTCGAATCCGTGTAGGTAGATGGTGATTACACGAGAGGCACGCTTGTGTGGGCGTTCTCGTGAATCATGATCCTGTGGGTGTTGACGGGACTCGCTCATGTGAGCGTTCCCGAGGATCACGCTTATGTGGGTGGCTGATGTTACCCGAGAATCAGGCTGTCACTTAATTCACACTTTATCTCGTTATCCACGCTTTCAGCCCACCACACAGAATCCTACGCGTCCACTTTCTCTCGTGCATGCACGCTTTGTTCATGAATAGACGTTTTCACTGGTCTCCTCTTAATACCTGGATCATATTGACACTCTTTCCTCGTGAACTTACAGGCAGTACAGTCATACCATTGCCCCTTCCCACAATATCACACTTAACCCCAAATCAGCGCGCAACACCCAGCAAAATCTCGAGTTAAAAACCTACCCACAAGTATTCCAGGATCCTCCCTGGTGGAACGGAGTTCGTGCACTGCACTGAGAATCTTCGGACTCGGGTTTGAGTTAGAAGTAGAACAAAGCCTTTATGGGTTACATCCGTGGGCCTCAACATCGAAAAAACATACACCATAAACAAAAACCTCCTTTGTTCGGTCTGTGACTCTGAGCTCTGTTCAGGACTTCAAGCAGGGCGTGTTTCTTGTCTGCGCATGCCCTGAGATATGACTGATTACAGCACTCTGAGCCTTTCTGTAAACTATATACACACATGCGTACATACAGATGAGAAAGGGGAAAAAAAAAGAAAACAAGAAAAGGTGTTTAAAAAAAAAACACGTTTCCAGTGATCTTCCTTGCAAATATTGATTGTTCTGTTATCATATAAACCCGACTTGTGCTGATATATGTATGTAGATTATTTATTTTGTCTGATTTCGATTTTCAACTGCCAAGTTTTTTTTTTTCCACGTGCGCAACAATGGACGATCTCTCATTCCTCTTGGTCTCTGGGTAATGAGATCAGACGCCCGGGCAAAAATGTGGAGTTAAAAATCTACCCAAAGGATTTCAGGATCCTCGCCTGTGCTACAGAGCCTGTGCACTGTGCTGAGCTTTCTCGGGCTCTGAGTTAGAAGAAGAACAGGGCACTTATGGGTAATTACCTGAGTGCCATGATGTTGATCAGTTTTTTATACCTCAAACATTATTTTGTTTGTATTTGTTTGTGTTTTTTTAGGAAGAAAGAGAAACACGGTGAGTCAACTTAACACAGAAATTGTCTGTATGTCTGTCTGTATGCCTGTCTGTATGTCTGTCTGTGTGTCAGTCTGTATATCGGTTTATATGTCTGTTTGTATGTCTGTCTGTATGTATGTCTGTGTGTCCGTCTGTATGTCAGTTTGTATGTCTGTCTGTATGTCTGTATGTCTGTATGTCTGTGTGTCCGTCCGTATGTCCGTTTGTATGTATGTCTGTATGTCTGTCTGTATATCTGTTTGTATGTCTGAATGTCTGTCTGTAGCCTGTATGTCTGTCTGTCTGTGTGTCTGATGTTGTTCCTGAAAATTGGTCTCTGCTGATGTGCGTCTGTATTATTGTGTGCGTCCCTATATGTGAAACTTTCTGGTGGGGTGTTGCTTCAGATGGTATAAGTTGTGTTACATATGAAGTGTGTTATGCTGCATATTGAGTACATTCTGTTGTATATAAAGTGTGGTATGTGACATGTAGAATGTAATTTGTGACATAGGTAGTGCGTTATGTTACTTTGCATATGAAGTGCTTTAAGTTACATGTGAAGGGCGTTATGGGTAATGTAACACATAGAGTACCTGATGCTCCGTGGAGAGTGGGTAATGTAACACATGGAGTACCTGATGCTTTTTGTAGAGTGGGTAATGTAGCACATGGAGTACCTGATGCTTCTTGTAGAGTGGGTAATGTAACACATGGAGTACCTGATGCTTTTTGTAGAGTGGGTAATGTAACACATGGAGTACCTGATGCTCTGTGGAGAGTGGGTAGTGTAACACATGGAGTACCTGATGCTCTGTGGAGAGTGGGTAATGTAACACATGGAGTACCTGATGCTCTGTGGAGAGTGGGTAATGTAACACTTGGAGTACCTGATGCTCCTTATACAGTGGGTAATGAAACAAACGGACTACCTGATGCTCCGTAGAGAGTGGGTAAAGTAACACATGGAGTACCTAATGCTCCGTAGAGAGTGCGTCATATTACACATGGAGTACCTAATGCTCCAAAGAGAGTAGGTAATGTAAAATATGGCGTACCTCATGCTCCGTAAAGTGTAGGTAATGTAACACGTGGGGTTCATAATTCTATGTGTGGAGTGGGTAATGTAACATGTGGAGTATCGGGTGCTCCTTGTAGATTGGGTAATGTAACACATGGAGTACCTGATGCTTCTTGTAGAGTGGGTAATGTAACACATGAAGTACATGATGCTTCTTGTAGAGTGGGTAATGTAACACATGGAGTACATGATGCTTCTTGTAGAGTGGGTAATGTAACACATGGAGTACCTGATGCTTCTTGTAGAGTGGGTAATGTAACACATGGAGTACCTGATGCTCCATATAGAGTGGGTAATGTCACATGGAGTACACGAGGTTCCGTATAGAGTGGGTAATGTAACATGTGGAGTATCTGGTGCTCCTTGTAGATTGGGTAATGTAACACATGGAGTACCTGATGCTTCTTGTAGAGTGGGTAATGTAACACATGAAGTACATGATGCTTCTTGTAGAGTGGGTAATGTAACACATGGAGTACATGATGCTTCTTGTAGAGTGGGTAAAGTAACACATGGAGTACCTGATGCTTCTTGTAGAGTGGGTAATGTAACACATGGAGTACCTGATGCTCCGTATAGAGTGGGTAATGTAACAAAGGGAGTACCTGATGCTCCGTATAGAGTGGGTAATGTAACACATGGAGTACCTGAGGCTCCGTGTAGATTAGGTAATGTAAGACAAGGAGCAAGTTATGTTACATACAGAGTATGTTATATTTCATGCGAGTGTTATGTTACACATGGAGCGTGTTAGGTTACACATTGGATGGGTTATTCTACATATTAGTTAGTTAGTTAGCTAGTTAGCTAGTTAGCTAGTTAGTTAGTTAGTTAGTTAGTTAGTTAGTTAGTCAGTCAGTCAGTCAGTCAGTCAGTCAGTCAGTCAGTCAGTCAGTCAGTCAGTCAGTCAGTCAGTCAGTCAGTCAGTCAGTCAGTCAATTAGTTAGTTAGTTAGTTAGTTAGTTAGTTAGTTAGTTAGTTAGTTAGTTAGTTAGTTAGTTAGTTAGTTAGTTAGTTAGTTAGTTAGTTAGTTAGCTAGCTAGTTAGTTAGTTAGTTAGTTAGTTAGTTAGTTAGTTAGTTAGTTAGTTAGTCTAGATACAAACTTCACTTCAGATTCCTCACTCAATAACTGTCCCTTTCTTATGCCAGTGAAATCACACAAAAGTTCCTTCACCGTCCCAGTTGAAAACTAGTGATTAACATTCCAGTCCCTGCATGATCTTGAAATCCGCACACGCAACGTAAATGCACAAGGCAGCCATCAGATTTGCCAACACTAACAGTCTCCCACCAGAACTGGAGCTCACTTTTGATGCAAGCAGTCAATTACAAAAGCCGGCATTGCACTCGCAAGACTGCATAAGCACATGACATCAACAGAAGGTAACTGGCCACCCACCACTTGTACTGCTGTTCACAACATAAATCGTTAGGAACTTTACAGCTGACGGTGTAGCATCAAGTATTCAGCTCAGTAGCTAGGCGTCGAAACTTTTGAACTCCCCGTCCAGAAATGGGGAATTGGTACCAGCCGGTCGTGGCCAGAAAAATGTTAACTTTTTAAAACTTTAACGGTCAGCCGGCTATCCACCTACTACAGCAGACTGCATCAGAAGTCCAGTATTGTCTACATATGGAGATTAAACAGCCTAACATGTCTTTGGTTAAGCACCAGCAAGGTGATCAAAATTAGAATTTTGAGAGCGTGCATCTTCCCTGTGGCTACATACGGATGTGAGACGTGGACTATCTTTTTGTCCTTAAGAAAGAGAATAGGGGCTTTTGGGTTGAAATACTACAGAAAGATTCTCAAAATATCTTGGAGAGAGAAGAGGAGAAATTCTGACATCTTGAAAGATCTGAACATCGAGGAAAACTGGCTAATAAAAAGCATCCTGTCTCGGAAGCTGAAATATTTTGGTCATATCAAGCGCCACGACGGATTGGAAAAAAAACTATAACAGACGGCATGGTATGAAGAATGAGGAGAAGGGGCCGACCAACACGAAGATGGGCACAGGATATAGTATTAAAGTGCATGAGGCGGGAGAGCTGGTGAGAGACCGAGTTTCTTTCAGGCAGACAGTGATGAGAGCGACGTTCTGCAAAGGACCTGCTACATGATGATGGTGATGGAGCGCGTTAAGATTTTATCAGAAGCATCATTTTATATTTAATTCAGTCATATTTTGAGGGGAAAAAAAATAAAGTAAAAAAACAAACAAAAATACTATCATTGCAGACAAGGCATGCAACAACAAACTTCATTCATCTGATTGGCAAAGGTTCCTCAGATTCCACTACCCAAGGTACTGTGTGCTGTTACTTTATTTAACTATTAGTGTAAATTAACCAGATAAATGTTTGGCCTACCACTTGTATCAGTTGTTACAAGACATAGCAAATATGCTTTCTCCTGAGAACAAACGAACACAGAATCACTGAACAGACAATTCCAATTCCTTTTAAGAAAAAGAAAAAAAAATCAAAAACACAACCACGTTCGACCTGCTGATAGCTTGTCGAAGATGCCAGCAGTCTCCGGCTATATTTGTGGTCTTGTTTATTTGCGCCACTTTCGTGGCTAAAGTTCTTATATATTTGGGTTGTCTCTGGGCTTCATGCTTCTATCCTCCATGTCAGACCGCTATCATTTATAGTTTTAAAATTTCAAGTATTTTATTTTGCCGAAAAGTACTGAAAACAGTTTTTGGGTTTGGATAGACCCGAAATGTGAAAAATTCCGCGCGTGACCATAGTGGCCTTATGGTTGTCTTCCTGCAATAAGAACAGGTTAATCGTGTCATGGAGATGTTTGTGAAATGTTAGGTGGAGCCTCACAATAATTTTATCCGTCATTTGTTACAGTGTTATCCGACTGTGTCGGTTTGGGTTGATAGCTAGGCTCCGGTGTACTACGTAAATACCGGATCCCTTGAAAAATGCAACACGTCACCAGTCTTTACCATCGTACCATTGGGGGGGGGGGGGAGACAGACAATAAATGTGAAACAGATGGATACAGGAAACGAGGACGTCTAAGAGAAACCCTCTGACGAATGTAGATAGGAGAGACCAATGATACTGGAAGAAAAAACTTCCAGCCCTATGTGAGGTATACATTTCGCATGATCTACTTCTTCTCCTCACGGGCCATGACATGTGCCGTTGGTAGCAATGACTGACCACAAACTTGTGCTTCGTTAACTTTCAATCAGTTCTGAGTTCTGACTCAGATTGTCTTCCATGTCATGATGTCAAACTGTCCTGCATCTGTTCTCCAGGTCTTCCTCTGTAAGCTTTCCAACAGTCAGGATGTACTGCGGTGTTCTCCTTCTCATGACACTACCAGAGAGTGTTGACTGTCCTTTTCTGATGTGATATCTTCACATAATAAGTCTGCTATGACATCTTTGTGATAGATCTGTCAAACGGATGAACATGCAACACTCAGGTTCTGGAACAGGACTGCAGTCCAGAAGTGGACGAACAACCAGAACTTTCCTCCAAAGTTTACAGCTGGTGAACGCAAAGAAGAAGATATCTTTATTACTCTTTGCTTATGCCCACGATGTTCTCATCATTGGTCTATACAACGACAACTCTGCCGCTTCCACGCACAAGATAATAAAGCGAGTTGCCTTTCCTTTACAGGAAGCTGCTGAACCAACCCCTGAATGTTTTTGGCTGTTTATGATTCACTGCCTGTAATTATCTTCAATAGTTTGCCCATGCTCACTTAACGCTCACTCTTAAAACCACTGCAAGGTGGTCTTTGCCAAATCGCCTGCAGCTGGATTCGAGCCTAGTACCTCGGAGTTACAAACCATGGTCACAAAGCCTAAGCCACAGTCGCAGACATGACATGATCAGCGGTGTAAATTAAGAGCAAATTACAGAAGTAGTGGAAGCAGCCATGATGTAGCAGCTAGTCGCTCGCCTCCAGATCCAAATGTCTGGGTTCAGATGCAGAGGCTGCCGGAATTTTTTTCTTCAAAAAGACCTTTGCCTCCCAGGTTGTCCCAGCCTTATATTGTTACCAGGTAGAGTCTTTGAAAGTAAAGGCGGCCGGCGTGATGTTGACCACATCACCCACCGAGTGGTTAATACAAAAGTAGGTCTAGCCCTAGATACCCAATACGCCTGAAGACATGGAAGAACTGATTTGGGCCTTCAGTTGTGTCTGTGAAACTCTGTCCTGGTTTTTCTTGGTCTTCTCCTTGCTCTATTTTGCTTACATGATGCTTTTTTTCCCCTTTCGGTAACTGTGTGTGTGTGTGTGTGTGTGTGTGTGTGTGTGTGTGTGTGTGTGTGTGTGTGTGTGTGTGTGTGTGGCGGAGTGCCAGTTGGTACCAGAACATTCTCGTCAAATGGCAAAGTGGCTGTTTTATGAATTGTATATTTGGTTTCAGTCAAAGCCTTTGAATGTAACCTCCTATAATTAATGTTATTACTTTTCAAATGCTGTTCTGTTTACACTTTCAGTTAGTGACACAATCATCTTCAAATGCTGTTCTGTTTACACTTTCAGTTGGTGACACGATCATCTTCAAATGCTGTTCTGTTTACACTTTCAGGTGGTGACACGGTCATCTTCAAATGCTGCTCTGTTTACACATTCAGGTGGTGACATGATCATCTTCAAATGCTGCTCTGTTTACACTTTCAGGTGGTGACACGATCATCTTAAAATGCTGCTCTGTTTACACTTTCAGGTGGTGACACGATCATATTTAAATGCTGCTCTGTTTACATTTTCAGGTGGTGACACAATCATGTTCAAATGCTGCTTTGTTTGAAGTTTCAGTTGGGGACACGATCATCTTCAAAAACTGCTCTGTTTAAACTTTCAGGCGGTGACACAATCATCTTCAAATGCTGTTCTGTTTGCACTTTCAGGTGGTGACACAATCATCTTCAAATGCTGCTCTGTTTACACTTTCAGGTGGTGAAACGATCATCTTCAAATGCTGCTCTGTTTACACTTTCAGGTGGTGACACAATCATCTTCAAATGCTGCTCTGTTTAAACTTTCAGTTGGTGACACGATCATCTTCAAATGCTGCTCTGTTGACACATTCAGGTGGTGACACAATCATCTTCAAATGCTGTTCTGTTTACACTTTCAGTTGGTGACACGATCATCTTCAAATGCTGCTCTGTTTACACTTTCAGGTGGTGACACGATCATCTTCAAATGCTGCTCTGTTTAAACTTTCAGGTGGTGACACGATCATCTTCAAATGCTGCTCTGTTTAAACTTTCAGTTAGTGGCACGATCATCTTCAAATGCTGATCTGTTTACACTTTCAGTTGGTGACACGATCATCTTCAAATTTTGTTCTGTTTACACTTTCAGTTGGTGACACGATCATCTTCAAATGGCAGAAACGAGAACATCGGCGAGCTGAAGGTTTCACTCTACTTCCTAACGCCCAGGATACTTCTTCAATCAAAATTTTGAATTCTGGGGTGTATTTGGTTTACTCGCAAGTGGCTGTTCATGGACGGTCAAATAAGTAAGTCGGTTTTGGTAAATCAATATGGAGAAAAGAATGAAAGAAAGAAAGAATGAATGAAGACCAGACAGTAGACAGATAAAGGCGACACACAGACAACTTATCCACAAACCTGAAATGACAATTCGAGTCAGACACAGACAGACAGACAGGGAAGGAAATTGGGGGGGGGGGGGATGGGGTACAAACACACAGGCAGACATGGTTACACGAGGAAAGACAGAAAGAAACAATTGGAGGCATACACGAACACAGGCAGACAGTATGCTGGGTAGTCACAGGCACACGCGCTCGCGCGCGCGCACACACACACGGATTTTAAAAAATACAGTTGATTATTTAGATTTCAACACAACTACGAAACTTTCAGTTGCTAATTACTGGCTTCTGTTTCTTTTCTTTCTTCTAAACGTTCGCTGGCTCTATTAGACCCCGGTGGAATGTTCCGATGGTTTGTCCACTCCTGGTCTTGATCCAGAATTTGAGTTTTTGCGTGCACATCCGTTTTACAGATCTGGCTTATTTGTATGCAGGATGTTGTTAGCTAGTTTACTCTCATGTGGGATCTTATTCAGGAAACCTGGGTGAAAATCCTCGGTTAGATGACTGATGCTTCTTTTTGTTGGGAGAAATGTGTGGGGGGGGGGGGGGGGGGGGTACAATCCGAACCTGCACAGCGCGGGGCGACTGTACTGGCCATGCGGCCCCTGAATCCTTAGACTCACAACACCCTAGTCCTAAAAGTGTTCAATACAGGCAGTGATGAAGGAGACGGCGAGAAAGAGAGAGAGAGAGAGAGAGAGAGAGAGAGAGAGAGAGAGAGAGAGAGAGAGAGAGTGAGAGAGAGAGAGAGAGAGTGTGTGTGTGTGTGTGTGTGTCCAACAGTACTTCGTCTGTGAATCAAACTTTTTTTTTTAATCTCTCTCTCTATTTTCGTCCCAGTAACGTCCAGTTTTACTGCTCCCACAACATGCAGTTGAAGAAAGGACAAAACGGACCGACTTCCAACATCCTTTCCAGTCTTCTAACACAGGATAACAGGTACGGTCAGTTAGAGATTCTCTAATATCAGTTATTCTAACTTATCTCTTTACATTCCATCCGCTGAACTTTCTAGTCACATTCTATGTTGAACATTTTTAGCATATATTTCCCACTAAGGCGTTGTGAGTCCGACTCGTAATTCCAACGTACCGCGATCGAAACCCACTGCTGGCTGCGTGGATTTTTATCTTGGTACGGGGGGTCGCAGGTCGACCCAGCCTAAAATGGGTACCAGGATGGCTGTCCTGGGGAAGTAAAGATGGCCGGCGTAATGCTGACCACATTGACTACCCAGTATCGATTTGTCTGTAAAAATATGGGACGCTCTTCCCATATTCCCGATGCGCCTAAGGCGTGAAAATGAATCTTTACTTTTTACTACTACTTATATATTTCCCAAATTTACTGTTTCTTTCATGGAATCAAGGCCGAAGGGTTGTTGTATCTAAAGTACCGAGCCAAAGGGTTAACAACTCATGGTTTCTGGGCCACATATATATATTTGATAGGCTGGAAAACGGCAAAGACTACTGTTCAGCAGCTTGAAGATCTTGATTAAGTCTGCTTTAAAAATGACCAAGAGGCCACAGGAACAGCTTTTAGTTTTAGACAGTAAATTGGGGAAAAGTCTGGCCACTGGGTATAAAAAGACCAACTGACTCAGTATTTGCTTTCTATTTGACTTCCGGATCCACCATGTGGAGACCTACCCGGCTGTTGTAGCTACACACACACACACACACACACACACACACACACACACACACACACACACACACACACACACACACACACACACACGCACGCACGCACGCACGCACGCACGCACACACACACATATATACATATATACATATATATATATATATATATATATATATATATCTATATATATATATATATATATATATATATATATATATATATATATATATATATATATATATTTAAAGCAATGAATGTCAGGATAGGCTTGTGATGTCATGAAGAATATATGCAACAATCTATTTCTTTGTTCCCTTGTATTCTAGGGGACTGGAATATCTGAACATGTCGGTGAATGGCCTCAAACCTCTAGATACACAACTACACATGGGAGTGTTCTTTCTGCTACCCGAGGATGAGCTCTCGGTTCGAATCCCACCATCGTGTGCCAGCACTAACTACTCCACAGTTGCTGAGAATAGCTACTTTGGAGTGGTGAAGATTGGCTGATAGGGCTGTCACATTCCTGCGTGTTTGGTTTGTGTGTAAATATATCGGTTTCTAGCGGAAAGTTTGTCTTCCCTGTGTATGTCTGATTTCCCCTCCGTGCGGCTATCTGAAAATTGGACCATCCTGCGACTTTAAGAGTCGCTTACCAGAGGGCACACAATCCAACAGGGCAAATCCAAGATATCTCATTCAACCTCATATGAAGTGATAATTGTGGAAATGGTAACAGCGAGCTGCTGACAGTACTAAGATAGCCCAAGAAACTAAGCACTGTCCATGCGTACACTGCTGTGCTAAGCTGGTTTAAAATGTCTGTCTTTCATGTTGCGTGTAACTGTATTAATTACTGAAAGAGTGGATTTTTGGCTACAAAAGCTATAAAAGCGGGGACATTCATACTTGACAAGAGAGGCATTCCTAAGACCATTTATGAACCAATGCTGACAGAAGACACAAAGTTAGATAAAATAACGTATGTAAGAATGTGTGGACGTAGAATTGGCAGTAGATCCAGCAAAGAGGCCCGCCTTTGGGTATGCCTCGTGTGCTTTGATGTCGATTCTTAAATCAGTAATCAGCGAGTGGATAGAAGCTGCCGTGACGACCCGAATGTCTAAAGTTCAAATCTGCATCTATATGTTCTTTCAAAATTGACCTTTGTTTTCAACCTAAAATGGATATCAGAACATCTTCAAGAAATTATTCAAATGATCTATTGCTGTGGTGTTTGTCGATAAATGCTACTGTCGAAACGCCTGATTGTTCCTCTGTATGTGTTCTCCCGCCGTCCCACCTGTTCCCATCTTGGCTAAACTTCCTAGCCACACAGTTCAGTGGATTAATTTCTAGATGTTTGCATTGACTGACGAATGAGCGTATGATGAGTCGCTTGGTGCCGATAGATTTAAACTACCTTATGTAACTGGTTTGTGATGCCGGCGATGGAAAAAGGAGACTGTGTACTGGAAACAATATTTAGGAACAGAAATGTCCCTATACAGATTTCCCAGACATGAATTCCCTCCCTTGCCTTCCCAATGCGTACAAGGGGTTGTTTGTGGTGCCATCATTTCTGTAATCTCGATTTCATTGCTTTGTGTAGTCATGGTGACCATAATTACAATAATACTGCTTATATCGCTAGCAACGTGTCAATTTTTTTATACAGACGTTCCCCCAGAATTATTGTCAAACTGTTTCTTCTTCTCATTAACCTTTCTGCCGCCCCCCCCTCCCCATCCTCGCGTTTTATTTCATTCTTCTTCTTCTTATTTAGCGTTCGCCAGCTATAAACTCCGCTGGGCAGTTTTGGTTGTTTGTCCACTTTTAAACTTTGGTCTTGTTGCAGATATTGAGTTTTGTGGGTACTTCTATTTTACACATATGGCTAAAGTATACGCAGGCTGCTGGTTCTTTGTCTCTCATATAGATATACTCCGACCTGGAATGAATCAGCCCTAATTAGATGACATTTACCCCATACTTGTTAGGGGTGCAGTGGGAACATACTTTTTCTCCCGAAAATGGGGCCGCAGAATCCGCACGGGGATTGTTCCTAACTTACCGGTTGTCACAACCTACTGCAACTGTTACTCACTCAGTCATACTCTCCCAGTCATGCTCTCCCAGTCGTACTCTCCCAGTCATGCTCTCTCAGTCATGCTCTCTCTGTCATGCTCTCCCAGTCATGCTCTCCCAGTCATGCTCTCCCAGTCATGCTCTCCTAATCGTACTCTCCCAGTCATGCTCTCCCAGTCATGCTCTCCCAGTCATGCTCTCCCAGTCATGCTCTCCTAATCGTACTCTCCCAGTCATGCTCTCCCAGTCATGCTCTCCCAGTCATGCTCTCTCTGTCATGCTCTCCCAGTCATGCTCTCCCAGTCATGCTCTCCTAATCGTACTCTCCCAGTCATGCTCTCCCAGTCATACTCTCTCTGTCATGCTCTCCCAGTCATGCTCTCCTAATCGTACTCTCCCAGTCATGCTCTCCCAGTCATGCTCTCCCAGTCATGCTCTCCCAGTCGTGCTCTCCCAGTCATACTCTCCCAGTCATGCTCTCTCAGTCATGCTCTCCCAGTCATGCTCTCCCAGTCATGCTCTCCCCGTCATACTCTCCCAGTCATACTCTTCCAGTCATACTCTCCAGTCATGCTCTCCCAGTCATGCTCTCCCTGTCATGCTCTCCCAGTCATGCTCTCCCAGTCATACTCTCCCAGTCATGCTCTCCTAGTCATGCTCTCCCTGTCATGCTCTCCCAGTCATGCTCTCCCAGTCATGCTCTCTCAGTCATGCTCTCCCAGTCATGCTCTCCCAGTCATGCTCTCCTAATCGTACTCTCCCAGTCATGCTCTCCCAGTCATGCTCTCCCAGTCAGTCATGCTCTCCCAGTCATGCTCTCCCAGTCATGCTCTCCCAGTCATGCTCTCCTAATCGTACTCTCCCAGTCATGCTCTCCCAGTCATGCTCTCCCAGTCATGCTCTCCCAGTCATGCTCTCCCAGTCATGCTCTCCTAATCGTACTCTCCCAGTCATGCTCTCCCAGTCATGCTCTCCCAGTCGTGCTCTCCCAGTCGTGCTCTCCCAGTCATACTCTCCCAGTCATGCTCTCAATGTCATGCTCTCCCAGTCATGCTCTCCCAGTCATGCTCTCCCAGTCATGCTCTCTAAGTCATGCTCTCCTAATCGTACTCTCCCAGTCATGCTCTCCCAGTCATGCTCTCCCAGTCGTGCTCTCCCAGTCATACTCTCCCAGTCATGCTCTCCCAGTCATGCTCTCAATGTCATGCTCTCCCAGTCATGCTCTCCCAGTCATGCTCTCCCAGTCATGCTCTCCCAGTCATGCTCTCACAGTCATACTCTCCCAGTCATACTCTTCCAGTCATACTCTCCAGTCATGCTCTCCCAGTCATGCTCTCCCTGTCATGCTCTCCCAGTCATGCTCTCCCAGTCATACTCTCCCAGTCATGCTCTCCCTGTCATGCTCTCCCAGTCATACTCTCCCAGTCATACTCTCCCAGTCATGCTCTCCCAGTCATACTCTCCCAGTCATGCTTTCCCAGTAATGCTCTCCCAGTCATGCTCTCCCAGTCATGCTCTCTCAGCCATGCTCTTCCAGTCATGCTCTCCCAGTCATGCTCTCCCAGTCATGCTCTCCCAGTCATGCTCTCCCGGTCATGCTCTCCCAGTCATGCTCTCTCAGTCATGCTCTATCAGTCATGCTCTCCCAGTCATGCTCTACCAGTCATGCTCTCCAGTCATGCTCTCCAGTCATGCTCTCCCAGTCATGCTCTCCCAGTCATGCTCTCAAAGTTGCAGGCTGATGTAATTAACCAGTTGGTTTTTAAAGTTGATTCTTTCAAGCATTATTTTTTTTGCGCTGAAAAACGGATGCATCGCAATTACAACACAACGTGCTAACTGCCTTTCAACAGCAAGTGAAAAAGGAGAAGAAAAAGAAGGAGAAGAAAAAGAAGAAGAAGAAGAAGAAGAAGAAGAAGAAGAAGAAGAAGAAGAAGAAGAAGAAGAAGAAGAAGAAGAAGAAGAAGAAGAAGAAGAAGAAGAAGAAGAAGAAGAAGATGAAGAAGAAGATGAAGAACAATGAGAAGGAGGAGAAGGAGGAGGAGGAGTAGAGGAAAAAAAAAACATAACAAATGATTTAACTGATTCTGTCCCACTTAACATGTCATTATGACTGGCTATGTTTCACTTGAATCAGTCAGTTTCCTTTGTGGTTGTACTTTTCACATTTACTCAGTAAGTACAAATAAATTTGACATATTTCTTTCACTACGATTAACCTCTTTGTTTCTGAACTCTTGGAATAGACGAATTGATTATGTGGGAAATAAAAACCCACTTATTGCATACACTGCCTAATCATGTTGAATATAAACTGATCAAATTAACACTTAAGCTAACCATAATAAATTTAAAGTGATCGATCAAATGAATTGCTCTACTGAACATCTGTTGCTGAAAATATTTTATTTTTTGTTTACCTTCTGTAAATTTATAGAATGTAAATTGAATAATTGATATACCTAGCTTACATCCGGTGAATATAAACTGATTAATGTTACACTTTGCGTAACTTTGTTGAATATAAATTCTTTAATTTTATAGCTTGTTAAAATGTGTTGAATGTAAATTAATTAATTTTATATTTTGTTTAAATTTGTTGAATATATTTTTATCAATTTCTAATACTGTTTAACCAGGATGAATATATTTATAAGGATATGTAGCATAGTAAACATATTACAATATCATATTTAGTTTGTTTAGTAACTATTAACCGAAATGTGTTTGTTCCATTTAGTTATGCAGTTGTAAATACAATCTCAAACACTAAACTACTTCAAGTCACAAACCAAGAAACTTTAGACAATATGATAACCAAGAAAAGATGGAAATGGCTTGGCCACGTTATGAGAATGAATCCTGATATACCTGCCAAAACAGCTCTCATATGGACACCAGAGGGAAAGAGAAAACAGGGGCGCCCAAAAACAACATGGGGAAGAACGATGGAAAGTGACCTGAGTGCGGCATCTTTGACATGGAAAACTGCACTGAAGGTTTCACAGGACAGGACAGCATGGAAAGTCCTCTCTGAAGCCTCATGTGCCACTAGGCATAACGAGAACTGATGATGACTGAAATTCATAATGCAAGTTTATTATTTTGTTTGCTAACGTTCAGTCTGCTCTGTGGCTAAGTCGATGCGAACGCTTCGTAATGCCGGGGTGCCGGGTTCAATCCCAGCTGCGGGCCATGCGCCTTGCGTTTGTTTCGACACTGGTATCAGGGGTTTGATCGTCAAGAAAGCAATGGCAAACTAATGGACGTAAATTTGCCTAGAGAAACCACACAACAACCAGGGGCTGCTGTGGTTGGTTCTGCAACGTCTTGTAAAGGATACGCAGCTAACCATTTTTTTTTTCTTAACGTTTAACCAATCAATTAACAGGTCTTTTACAGAACGTGACTCTCGTCAAGTC